TCATGCTATGGCCTCCCCATTTACGTAATTTTCACCTATTTCCCCCTTGGAATATCCTGGGGCCCCCAGTTGGGAAACACTGGACTAGATGATCCTCATGGTCCCTTCCAACTCTATAATTCCATGATTCTATGAACACTCTCCCCTCCAGTGGTTTCCAGCAACTGGTACCCAAGATTTCTCCAATAGCATAGCGTACTGCTCAGTATGTTTTGCTATTTAAAAAAGTGAAGTTTACTTGACGTAAGTAGGGCATATTTTTCTGTTTTTCTCCATACTGTAGGTCCCTCCTGTTTCGTAATCCAGGAATGCTTTTTTCTCTCCCCCCCCCCCCGACTTCAAAATTTCCAGGAACTTTACACATCTGTTTTAATTAGGTATCAAGAACAAGTTAATTCTGGACTGTATAGAATATACACTCCTGGAAGTTTCTGAACAATTGTATGAAAGGTTGACTGTTTTTGAAGCAGGAGACTTGACTAAGTCTCATTTGAATGCTGTGACTTGGAATGCATTCTGTTTTTTCTTTGGAAGGGGGAAATTGTATAATCCATTGGGAAATCTGTTACTTGCTTACTGAATCAGTTTTGTGATAAACATATTTCTTTAGTAAGAAATCCACATATGTCTTGATTTTAAGACAGCTGGGATGGGGAAATCCTCCAGATGTTGCTATGCCACAACTCCCATTATCCTTGGTCATTGGTCATGCTTGTTGGGGCTTATGGGAGTTGGAGTCCAGCAACATCTGGAGCCCCACAGGTTATCACCATTTTTTGCTTAGACAAATGTAGAAAATACTGTGAACATAAAAAATGCACACTTATTTGAAGCAACTATATCAGAAACTGATACTTGGATAGGGCTTTTTGGTTCCTTTCCAGCTCTGTGATACTACACATTAAATCTACATGACTCTTCAAGTTGCTTGTTATCCTTAATTCTGTATTGTGATGCCTGTCATCTTTGTGGTTTATCAACAGAAACTCCCCGGACACATTCACCCTTGACACCCAGGCAGAGAGAGAGACTTGGAAGGGCACAAGAGTAACTAGTTTTTTGTTATGGCAGTTGAGGTTCCTGCTGGTCACAGGGTCCACATCTAATTATCAGGAATGCTGGAGTTGGCTTGAAATCTTGTAGTTGAAGGCAGACTGATGACAATATGATGAATTACCTGCTTGGATAGCATTTTTTTGTTTTGTTTTTTGAAGGGGAAGCATGCAGATTTCCTGTCCCTGGCCACTTCTTCCAGGCAAATGTACACACAGTGAGATATAAAATGTGCATGACCATCACATGTGCATACAAGCTGTATGTTTTATTCTTTGTAAAAGTACATTCCATAGAATCTGCAGGAAACATGAAACATTGGAAGCATTCCTGATTCAAGCAGAAAATTCCTCAAAGTTGCTTGTTTTTCAGGTTCTTCCTAGTCATCTATTGAGGTCCTCTACTGGACACTAATTTCCGGAAAGCTGAAAGATCTGGGTTCCCAGTTAAGATATCATTGCCATTGGGTGATCCGTGGTATCTGAATTGCTGATTTGAGATGGATGACTGTGCTCAGTTATTCATTTGAAGTTATGTCTAATGTTTCCCTCCCTGATTCTATTTTTTTGCCTGGAGCATCACTGAAGGAATTCAACTGCTGCTAGGTGCTGTTAAGACATTGGGTGCCTACCAGACTAAAATTTAAGAGGCTTATGATTAAACTGGTAGACTATTGCAATCCAGGCATCTCCTGGTCTAAGGAAAATCTCATGACCAAATCAAAAAGAATTTCAAAATACCATCTAGCAGTGTTTTTGTTTTAAAATAGCATTGGGGTAAGAAGAGGGCACATAAAACCTTTTGTTAAATTATTGCTGTGTTTCATAACTCATACTTAGTTTTTCGGTCTGAAAGAATTGTTCAGAGTAAGAAGCACCAATAAATCCTAAGAACCATTGGTAAGCTGCTTTCCATATAAACAGTCCCTTATTTCAAAAGTGTGCCACTGAATCTTAGGTAACTCTGAGTTGAATAAGCTAATCAAAGCAACCGGATGGCTCAAATCCCTCTTAATGTACTGCTTCGGACACAGTGCATATGCTTTGCAAATAAATACCGAATTAGTGAGCTCCTGCTGGAAGCATTCAGTAAGAACAAGTGATTTGTCTTGCTTATGAAAGGCACATATATTTTCCCCTTGTAGTTGTTTGTCAGCTTGCACGTTACTTTATTTATGAATTCAGAGAGGGCAATTGCCATTTTTCAGCTCCTGAGCAGATGTGCTAGAGGCGGTCAAATTGATCAGCGGAAATACCGTATTTTTCGCTCTATAACACGCACCCGACCATAACACGCACATAGTTTTTAGAGGAGGAAAATCCGTAGGCATGCCACCCGTAGGCATTCCCTCCATAACACGCACAGACATTTCCCCTTACTTTTTAGGAGGAAAAAAGTGAGTGTTATGGTGCAAAAAATACGGTAGATGCAGCACCATCACCAGGGTTGGGAGGAAGAATGGAAGAATGTATTATCTTCCTCCTCCCCATTTCCTATTAATGACTGCCTTCTGTAAGGCTTTCTCCAGGTTGCAGGATGAAGAAAAGCTGCAAGTTTTCAATTGCTTTGAGGCAGGTAGTTCCTGCACTAACAGGAGAAGGGCAAAGGCAGCTTTCTGAGAGACACCTCTTTGTTGTAACCTTTTAAAGAGCTATTTAGAAAAGTAGTATTTAATTCTCTGTGTTAGCTGAAAGCCCACAAGTGCAAAACTATTGTTAATTACAATTATCATACCTCTTTCCTTGGTAGGTACTTGTTAACTTGTTTTCTGTATGAACAGAGGTAACGGGGGGGGGGGGAGGAGAGAAACATTTAAGTTGTCAAAATGACAGATTTTGTCAAAATTTTGGATTTGAAGATAAACAAGATTGGAGGAATATTGATTGCATAAACATTAGTGTAATCCTATATAGTGCATGCCCCAGGGAAGTCAGTGAATGTGATTCTCAGGTAAGTTGTTGCCTATAAGGTCTGTTCTTGCAGAAAGTATATTATGTCATTCATTTCATTATTGTTTGAAAATTATAGCTTAGTTCCAGAGGAATCTCTGGAAAGCTACATGTTAGTTTATTTATATGTAATTAATATACAGAATTTTTACCCTTGCAGGTTTATAATCTGAAAGACATGCTACAAAAATAGTGAGGGATGGGCAGAGGATTAAGCTAAAGTTATTTTTTAAAGCCAACTTGAATGGAGAGAGTGTTGAAGGGGAGGTATAGCCCAATGGACCTATTCTCTCAACAGGGTAGAGAGGCCTTGCAGTTCCATTTCTCCCTTTGTTATAGCCTGATAGAATAGCTTCAGCTAGATGACAATTGAAAGAGAAGTCTGATGGAGGGGTGGTATTTTGGTAAAGCTGTAGATACTCTGCAACCCCATGTAATGTAGACACTCTGTAATGTCTCTATTCCAGATCTTACAGTCATACACCACTTCAATTATCACTGCTTTGTAGCTGTTAGGTATTAAAATGACCTAACCACAGTTCACAAAAATCTGAGTCAACAAAAACATATTTGACTGATGTTTAAACACGTAAAATGAGGGGGGCAAATGAATCTCCAAGGTGAGAGTGTTTCAAGGTTAGGGTGCTACCAGAGAGAAGACCCTGTTTTGTGTCTCTAAACTGTGAATCTTCAGTGGGACCTAGAGGAAATGTGAGTGATTTTATCCTCGGGGCTTGTCACCTTTTGGCTAGCGGGCACATTTGGAATTCTGAAAACTGCTGAGAGTGTAAATTAGAAAACATCTGCTGAGAGCAAATTGGCTGTCACATCCAAAAGAGCAGAAAAAGGGAGGACCACAAATGGTGATGATGATGATGATGATGATGATGATATAAAACAGCAACAGCAATATAAAATAACAACGCCATATTTCTTATACCGGCCTATCCTAGCCACTCAGGGCAGCTTCCAGAAATTGATACAGATATACCTCCCTATCATTGGGAAATAGACACTTATGTAAGCCACTGTCTCACTTGCTTGAAGACAAAAGCTCTTTGCTCCTCTGCTTTGTTCAGAACGGTTTGGAGGATGGATGTCCATGCTGGCATCTAGTGGAATGTGGGCATGTTCAAGGGTGGGTGGGTGTGTTCATGGTATGACAGACAGAGGGTGGTTCTTGACACAGGGGAAAACTCAACACTATAAATAAGTCAGAAAACAGATCGTTATAGCAAAAGAAAATAAATCTCTATGGAAAATCGCATTTTAGTTTTTTTCTGCTCTCTGGAGCCATCTGGTGTTGCATGTTTATAGCACATTCAAATCACCATTTCTTTACTAATGTAGCTGAGTGCTGACTCCTGAGTCAGTAAAACTGGGAGCTGAGCAGGAAGAGAAAGCAGTCCCTACTACATTGTGCATTTTTGCATTGAGATATCTATAGATCGATCTCTCTCTCTCTCTCTCTCTCTCTCTCTCTCTCTCTCTCTCCCTATTTGCTTTTATGCTGGAATTCCACACACACACCCCATAAGTGTAGTTTGGGGAGGAACATAGCATATTTACTCTGTGGATGGATTTCCCCCCTTGTACATTATTTTTTCTTCTTCATTTTAGCTAACAGACAAAGCAAACAATTAACACACTTCATATCAGCAGTTTGGAATTGTACAGCTACAAGGCTTCTGAAATTGTAGTTGATGGATTAAGCATGTTTGGCTTGCAGCCAAGATCACAAAATCAACATACCCCTCTCTTGCATGCCAAGACCTGCTATCTCGACAAACAGGTAATACTTGTGAAAAATGTGGATTTGATGCATTAGGTAACATGAGCAGCTCAATGAGTAGCTTTTATTTCCCTGTTTACTGAAGACTGAAAGCAAGGCATTAGCAGGCAATCAAGACTGTATGTTCAAAGCTGCTACCTGGAGATGTTAGTTAAGCATGGCAATGTAGTTTAGGAAGGCATGATCGATAAATGCCCTGATGTGTGATCACAAAGACATAATAGTTATTAGGGTGCATGGGATTATTGAAAATTGGAGGAAATCATAATAAATGGGGCTCTGGATAATTGAGTTCACATTTTCAACTGATTGCTTCTGTCACTTAATTTCTATATTTTGAATTAATGAAATAGTAGCAGAAACCATTCTTCAGAACATAAGGCAAGTTGGGGATAAGTTTATTGCATGTGCAGGTGTGAGATATGTTTTTACATTTAATTTTAAATTGCTAAAATGGTTTTGCGTTTGAAAACCCTTACTTTCTTCATATCTTGGAGGCTTAAGTCATAGTTTCAGCATGTTTAGGTGGAGATAAATATTCACTCTTCCCAACTGATGGTGTTCTGTGATGCAAACATTTACAAGAGAGCCTGTCTCCTAGGGAATAACTTGTCACTCGGCTGCGTGGGAGCTGTGGTTTGGTACTTAGAGGTGTATTCTCCTTGTTCAGATTGGCTGTCAGGTGTTTAGGGTTCCCATGGATGTTGTATTTCAAGAGTTTTGCTCTGCTCAGTGTAGTTCTCATAGGAAACACAAAGACTTAAGTACAAGTACTCAACACTCTTTGTTTTTCTTTTGCAGATTCTAGACTTCCTCTGCTTTGTTGAACTGTGTTGATTGAATGCTAGTTAGTCCTCTTCTCTGCTTCCTTTCTAGTAAGCACTTGTCTTAGAAGCAGAAGCATTTGTTTTTCAGTCTAGCATAAAAAACGAGGTGAATACTGGGTGCTTCAGTCGTCTTCTGTGTGGCCTGAATAGCCAGTCCTGGCACAAATTATAGTCTGCAGCATCTATTTTTCACTACCTGCATTTGACTTCATATCATTTTAACAGAATGAAGAACCAATTTGTGTGTGTGTGTGTGTGTGTGTGTGTGTGTGTTAGTTCAATGAACCACTTTTCCATGGCAATGAGTTCTGTAATTTCACCTCTCAATTTCCGTAGGCCTCTCAGTTCAGTCTCTTCCATGGACCACAATTAACTGCCCGCAAAAATATTTTATTAGCCCACCATTTCTATATATGTTTATTGTAATTTATGGCATGATGACAGACTGAAATGGGGGTGGGTGGCGAGGGATGGAGAGGGATACAATCTGAGATTGTTTCTTCATCCTGGAACTGGAAAAGAGGATTGCAACTAGGCACAAAGTTAGAATTGGTGTAGACATTTAATTGGCTTCTGAATGGAATGTTCTCGTAAGTGCATGAAAGTTCACTTACATTTCATCTCATCCTCCCTTCTTTATATGAGTTCATATTTATTTGGAAATTGTGCAATGAGTATTAGCATGTTGCAATCTTCTTCTTTTTCTGGTTGTGCAAATTCTTTTAACTTAGCCCTTTGAAGACCAGTGAGAAAAAGATGCTGTGGCTGAAAGATCTGATGCCACAAACGAACACTTAGTTCTTTATCATGTTCTTCCCCTAGTTCCGCATAATGACATTGTGAAATAAGCGTTGCCAGGAAATCCTAGCCAAGTTGGCAGATGCATTGGAACGCCTGTAACAACATGGACATAGCAAGTGCATTCCATGGCCTCTCCCTTTTTGTGTTCTCCCTTTCCTCTTGCCAGCTCTGCACTGCCTCTCCCCCATCAAAGACTGATACATTTCCCTGTGATGTTTTCTTGCTTCTCTGAATTTCAACATGCAGATTGATAACTACTGTTCTCTGTTTCCAGCTGTTTTTGGCTCAAGCCAGCAGTGCCATCCTTCTGTAATTAAATAAAGCATTCATAGAACGGTGCTAATTTTCAGCACTGGGTCTTCCATTCACTCAGAATTATGTGTTGTTTTCTCTAGTCCACCATTCTTTTTCTCATGATGTCAAACCAGATACTTCAGGATAGCACAGGATAAAGATAGCAAACAAAGGATAAAGCTAATAGTCTTCCCCTGGTGCCCCCCGCTCCCCAGTAACTAGTATTCAAAGGCATAAGGTCTCTAAACCTGGAGATTCCATTGAGACTGTGGCCAATAGCCATTTATATACCTCCAAACACTTGTACAGTCCCCTTTTAATGCTATCTAACCTTGTTGCCATCACTGCTGAGAATTACACATGATATGCATTGTGTGTATAAGTACTTTGTGTCTGTCTTAAACTGTCATATTATGGGAGACACTTTGTTTTTTCTGTTTCCTCGCCTAGTATAATTTGAGAAAACCTTTCTTATGTGCCCTCTTAGTTCTGCTAGGTATTTAGCCTCTTGGGTATGTTTAGCCTGAAGAAGAGGAGACTGAGAGAAGATATGATAGCCATCTTCAAATACCAAAAGGGCTGTCAAATGAAAGATGGAGCAAGTTTGTTTCTGTGTGTTTTGGAGGGTAGGACTTGAACTAATGGCTTCAAGGTACAAGAAAGGAGATTCCAACTGAACATCGGGAAGAACCTTTGGATGGTAAGAGCTGTTCAGCAGTGGAATGGACTCCCATGAGAGGTGATGAACTCTCCTTCCTTGGAGATTTTTAAGCGGAGGTTGGATACTCATCAGGCATGGATGCTTTAGTTGAGATTCCTGCATGGCAGGGGTTGGACTCCCTCTCAACTCTACAATTCTATGATGCTTTAATCTTCCGCTTTCACCTTTATTCATAGAGAAGATTCTCCAAGCCTTTGCTATTGAAGTTGGTCGCTTCTGTTGTATTTGTGTGGGTTCGCCAGAACTTTGAACAGCATTCCAAACACAGTTGCATCATAAAAGGTGGTAATGGTAATAATTGTGGGGTGGATTAATTAAAAGATTCCAGTTTTATTCACAGTAAGCCTGCAGTCTTTCACATACTTGGGGCCAAGTCCCATTAAATACATTGGGATTTATTTCCAAGAAATTAGTACAGTAATCTGATTTGGCTGTACAGTTGCAATCCTACACAGTGATTTTAGTGGAGCATACTGCCAAATTAGCCAGCCAGTTAAGGTTGTCCCTGAATTTTGCTTTTGTTTACTGCTGCCATTTTAACTTTATGCCAGGTACTAAACCATATATCATTTCATTGTTTGGCTTTACCCAGAAACCTTTGAATAGTGTGCCAGCATCTGCTGCTTTTTCCCATATGGAGAAAAGAATATGCCTTTCAATGTAGTAGAAAATCAAAATCTTACACAGTCAATGTTTAATATTTTCTCAATGGTATCGTTATATAAGCTTCTTCCTGCAATAGCTTCTAGAGAAGTACTGTTTTAGACTTTGTATAAGATGTGATCGACACTTCTACTTTAAATTCTTTCTCTAGCTCTTATCATTTGAAATCTTTTGTTTTTTGACACCTGTCTTCAGATGTAGGCCTGATGGATCTCAATTTTCCCACCCCCCTTTAGCCTTTAAACATGTGGGTTAATTTAATCCTGATGAAAGTTGGAGCCTGAGAGCACATTTTGTGAATGAGACATATTAACAGCAGGTTTTCAACAGATTTCCTCAAGCGTGTCTATCCATACAGTCAAGTTTTGATCCGAGTCACCTCAGCTTGTCTGGTCCTGTGTTTCACTTGGGCAGATGCTACTGGTTGTAATTAATCAGCTTGTAGTGAAACAGAAGCTAGGATTTGACTGATAATGTATGATTTGTAAATATCTAAGACCTAGACCCCTCAAATGCTTATTAGATCATAATTTTTATTTTTGCTAAACTGTCAAATGCTCCTCATAGATATAGCTAGTTATCCTTATTCAAATGCTGCCTGCATGCACGCAAGTCGTTTGTTTGTTTTGCAATGTTTACAGACTGCTTTCCAAACAACGTTTCCTAAAGCAGTTTGCAAAAATGTGCACAGATAACAATGACTATTCCGTATGTACTTCTGTCTAACTATTATTGGGACTATGGGGGCTACATTCAAATACTATGAGTACTCTGTGAACATGTAGGACAAAGTAGTAAGGTAAGGAGGTAAGGACAATGGCTCATTATTTTTGTTGCATGCTTATGGAGAGTGCACACCACATAAACGAGAACAAGAGGACCATTTCTCTCAGGTGATCTCAGTAGTAGTAATGTATTGAGTTTCCTTTCCATCTCAACTATTTTAGTGAACAATCAAGTTCTATTCTTATTTTAAGGAGCAATATTATATAGCACTTTTGCCACAGTGCATTTAACTGTGTTTAGATTTGTGTTACACAGGAGGCTGGGGAAATAAAAATGAGTGATAGCTGCCAATGCCAGTCCCTGGCTAACCGGACATAAAACCCCATAGCTTATCAGCTATGAATATAGCAATAGTGGCTTTAAGTAGCATAACACCTGCTTTAAAATATTTTCTTGTCTCTCCCCTTTCCTGCCCTCCCCCCAGGTTGGAAAAATGGTTGTTCAATGCTTCAGGAGAAACTTTAGTAAACCTCTTTAGGAAGGTAATTCTATGGTTCTTCTGCAGGCACTCTTTCTGGTTCAAACAGGAACAGCTTGGATGTATAGTCAACTCAAGCAATCATAGTGCAACAACATGATAGGAACATCAATATGATCTAGGAAATTTGCCTCAGGGTCATCTGGTGCGACACTAGTCTTGCGTTGATAGGAGTTTGGGGATAGAGATTTTGGACCACTGATTGCACAGCAAAACTTACTGTGTTGGTCTTGCCTGCGGTTCATAGATAGTGAAGTTTATGCACAGCAAGGACCAGGCATTCTTAATATAGCCTGTAACCAGTCAACAGTAGTGGCCCCATGTAAGGCACATTATGGTAGTCTTCAAGTTTAGGAAAGCAAGACTAGCAGTCTCTGTATATGAAATGCTGCAGACTTTTTGTCTGATGGAGTTTGCGGAAAGTGCTCCTGGCTTGGTCTTACCCTACCATGAGGCAGAGTGAGGCAGCTGCCTTGGATGGCAAATGTTTAGGAGTGGGGAGTTGATAGAGCTTTGTGTGCCATGTGGCCTAACCTATGCCCTCTAAGAGAGCTTGCTTATTTCAGTTGCAATGGAGGGCAGTCTGGTTGGCTTTTGTACATGGAATGGAGGGAGGTGCCATTTTGTTGACCTCAGACACCAAGATGTCTCTCAGCCCCCACCCACCCCACATTTCTGGCCACTGCCATCACCATTTTAGCTCCATCTTGAACCACTCCAAAGTCAAAATCAGAGGATAGTATTAAAGCCTCTATTTTTGTACCTGTCCATTTCTTCCCTTTTGTCTCCTTTCCCTTATTACCTTACTGACGCTAATTGCCTCAGTCTTGTCTGGGTTTTGCTTCAGGCTGCTTGCCAATATCAACTTCTGTACTATAGCCAGGCAGATATAATTAAACCATGTTGAAGAACTGGACCAACAAAAGTTTAATTGTACAAAGTTTGTGACAAAGAACATCTTGGATACACTACCCATTTTTTTCTAGATCTTGTACAGTTTTACATTGAATCTGCTGCCTATGATTTGAATTTTTTTTTTAAAAAAAGTTTTAATTTCACAAACTTTGCAATAAACAACATGCTGGATGTATTGCAAGACACCATTCTGATTTCCTCGATCCTCTATGTGTTTACAAGATTGAATTAGCTGTTGTGGTTGCTGCTTTGACCTCACACATGTTGTTTCTGATTTCTGGCAGTAGACATGGCACTTTATCTCTCTCTCAACAGTGGGTGGGACAAGCAGCTCAGCGGGCAAGCATCTCACCAAGTCCTAGAGTTCATCATTCCCGCCTTCATTCAGACACATCCATGAATCTGTCTCTTACCTCTGACACCAAGATTTCCTTTGTTTTTGAACAGTGGGCTCTCATCAAACCAATAGCCAAGCATCAAAAAAGAAGTTTCTCCTTCGCTGCTGCTAGCACATCTTACGCCCAATTTTTCTTTTCTTTTTCCAGTGTTCTTACAACCTCATGCAGTATTCAAAACAGCAAAGATAAAATAAAAATAAAAATGGCAAGAGGTACACAAGGAGGAGAGAGGGGGAAGTTCTTAGCTATGGAATTTCTCTTGCACAGCCACTTTCATATAATAACTGACAGTTACCATGCTGGCTCATAACAAATGCCAGAATCCATTTTAGGGCAATAGGGTGGAGCAGGCTTCCTCAAACTTGGCCCTCCAGATGTTTTGAGACTACAGCTCCCATCTTCCCTGACCACTGGTCCTGCTAGCTAGGGATCATGGGAATTGTAGGCCAAAAACATCTGGAAGGCCAAGTCTGAGGAAGCCTGGCTTAGAGTGTCAGACTAGAACCTAAGAGATCAGGGTTCAAATCCCCACTGGGCCATGAAGCTCACTGGGTGACCTTTGACCAGTCACTGTCTTTTTTCAGGCTAACCTACCTCACAGGCTTGTTGTGAGGATTAAACTAGGAGGAGGAGGAGAATCATGTACACCACCTTGAGCTCTTTGGAGAAGAAGGTGGGATGTAAATGCAGTTTGTAAGTAAGTAAAAAAAAAATTAAAATACCTTCATTAAGCCATCACAACATAGCATGTAGGCTTTCAGTTTCAATGGGATGTAGGCTTTCAGTAACTCTGAAGCTTGCACACTGTTTTGTGATTTGGTTGGCCTAACAAAGATATTTACACATAGTTGTTAAAAATCCAATATAACCTATGTGTATTTTGTCATTCAGCGTACTGTGGTTCCTCCAGCAATAAGCTATGTGAATGGAAAATGTCAGTAGGCTGGACGCCGAAAGCTTAGTAATGAAGGACTGAAAGTTGTATCACTGGTTTAATATTTTGTGAGGTTTTTATGATAGAAGTGCATTTGGTGGTGAGTTCTAAGGCTTAAACATGCATTGAGAACAGCTTTAAAGAGTGAATGTGTAAGCAGGAAACGAGCTACTTTAATTATAGAGCAATGGGGTGAAGATAGAGAATGTTTACACCTGGTAATTTTATTGCAAAATAAAGCTGCAACTGTTCCTCAGTTGTTGCGTGGGAACCTTGCCCTCCCCCCCCCTTTAACAGGCTGCTGCCTCTCTGCTGCAACAATAAATTTATCCTAGAGCCCAGGAGCAGTTTTTCATGCTAGGAATATGTTTGTTTGTTTGTTTTACTTTCCTCCCTCTCCTCTCCTTGACTTCACCTCCACAATCTATCCTGGAGATTCTTCTAACCCTCCAGAACACATTTGGTGTGGATACAGGGCATGCAGAGGAAAGGAGGGGGGAAGTCCCATTTTGTGCTATTAAAAATGTTACTGTTTCCCTGATCCTGGTGTGCAGCACTCAAGCAACCCACAGTTGGTTGGGTTACATTTAATGACAATCGAACAGAACACACTTGGGGACCAGGGAAGAAGGAAGACTCGTTCTTGTAATGCCTTGTCAAGTCATTACACCCTGACACATCCTCTGAAATAATCTGGTGAAAAAAGTAACCCTAACTGAGTAGAGAAATAAAAGAAAGCTAACCTGACTGTCTCCCCTTCCCCAGTTAGTGGTACTAGTCTATACTTACATTAACATTTGAACATACAGGTGTCTCATGACTGCTCTCCCTCACTCTTCCCATTATACTAGCACTGTGTGTGTGATGAAGGAAAAAGTCAATAAGAACACGAGGAAAGAATTTTCATCCATCGCTTTGTGCGAATGTAATTTGCAATATTAAAATTTTCTACACTTTCAACATCCTTTCTACCTGGTACTTTTAGAGGCAGGATTATTTTTTTTTAATGGTTGGAAAGCACAGAGAATGGAAATGTTCTTGCTGAGCAAACAATAAATGCAAGTACCTTCCTACTCCCCCCCCCAAAAAAAAATGAATGCAGACTTGCTGCTTGAAAAGAATTATCATTACGGCGTTTAAATTAACTTCTGTACCTAAAGGGGATTTAACTTAAAGGAGAGACTTGTTCCTTCCCCTCCAAAAAAACTCCCCATCTGTATATATGACGTGCCTATGGAGCAAGTCCACTGTAATAGCACATGCACTCAGACTTCCAGCTTCCCTCCTTCCCTCTTTCTGAATTTCCTCTGTTTCCATTATTTCATCTCTTTCCCACAGCATATCTTGTCAAGCCATCTGTATGAGGCCACATAATTTCCTAACCATCCTGCATAGCTTTGGAGCAAAACATTACAGAGCTAAAAGGAAGCTGATGAATGCTTTAGTGTGAAAAGCCAAATAGCATAGGTTAGTCCTTGAACTAAATAAACTGAGTAACTCTAGTTAAGCCATGACTGTAAAAACAATAACACATAGTGGTATCCTTGTGCTTTGAATTCAGGACTTTTCTGTAGAAGTACAGAATTGTGCATTCTTTTTTTACCATAAACATTCTCAGTATAAAGTCATCCGAATTTTATACTATATGTGGATTGAATCATCACAGAAAACACACCCCAAGTGATAATTTTTTCTTGAAGGAGGTGGTGGTAAATATTTCCCATTTCTTAGTCATGTGAAGGGTTAAAAAAAAAAGGCTAAACATTCATACATTTTCAACAAAAACCTGGTTAAAATAGGGTGTGCATAAGTCAGCTATATTCATTGCACATACTAGTCTTCTCATGCTTGTTCAATTAACACATGGAGAGTAGTGTGAGGATACTTACTGTCCTTGGCTCTGCCCATGGGGTGAAACATAAGAAATGGAATGTGTGTAGACGAGGGCAACTGAGATGATCAAGGGTCTGGAAACCAAGCCTTATGAGGAATGGTTGATGGAGTTGGGTATGTTTAGCTGGTAAAGATGCGACTCTACAATTCCATGATTCTATAATGTTCCATCAAGTGGGCAGAGGTTGGAGGACAAGACTGGTTTGAACACGTGGAGGGATCCATGAAAAGAGGGCTTCTGTGGAATGGATGTGTTCAAACATGACTGGGGGATTTACACTTCACAGTGTTAAAAGAATGTGTATTCCTATTTGATAGTGTCTTCAAGTGTCCTTTCTATAATCCAATCACTTCCTACTTTTATTTCAATCTCTAAATTTTCTCCCTTAGCGAGTTCCACTAGCATTTCAAAGTATCTATTTAATATCCTATTTCTCTCTCTCTCAGCTTGCTTTCGTATTAAGCCTTTGGGAAAGAGGTGCCTTTCTTTTAATGCATATGGAAATACTGATCTTACCCATGCAGACCACTGAATTCAGGTTGACTCCGAATGAAAAATAAGTTATCAGGTGTGCACTTCATGTAAAACCAGCACTAGGTCTCAAATCTGAATCTAAATCAAACCACGATAATGTCAAATTGCTGCGCGTTTATGTTACTATGTCTTTAAACCTCACTGTGGGAAGAAACATCTTGCAGCATTTGCTGTTTCCAAGTTTAATTGGTTTTATCTGTTTCTATCATCACCACCTTATCTCCACAGACAGTTGCACAGATAACATTTGGAGATGAGAATTCAAGTCCAGCCACACAATGTCATCTGACAATTAAATGTTATTTGATAGTTCTGTCTGCATCTCAGGAGCTGCGGCATTTCCATCTCTGGTTGATAGTCTTTATAGCATCATAAAAGTGTTCTCAGGGGAAATCTGGATTTGGATGACTTTCCGAATGGAAATAGGTAGAAAAATCCTGAGTAAAATGCAGGTCAGACTCCAGTAGCAAGTATAATAATTGGCTATTGGCTGATGACTATGCAGTTCAGGTCTGAAAGAAGTTTGTTTATTTCATTGCATTGAATCTTATATCTTTCTGACATGGAAGGTTATATTTAATATTGTGGGAGGTATATTAAATGTTTCAATATTGCTTTTCTTGTGGCTAATTAAATTTTCCATGGAAAGGCTATATAGAAAGGTACAGTGTGTTTGAAATCGTTGGCTGCTACTATCTCAAGACATAGACCAAATTAATTGCATTTAGTCCTCCCTAAGTGATTTACTAGCTGATTAGGCAGTTCTTCTGTTTTCATGGATGTTTTGGCTTTTTTCCTAATGTAGCACTTGATTGAAGAAAAGCAAAGCATTATTCAAATCTGCGGAGAAAGAATTATGTGACATTTGACTCTCTCTGCCCCCCCCCGTATGTGTATAAGTGTAAGTGTAAGCTGCTGTACGCATCTTTAGGATTGGCTTGTTTCAGAATTTCACCCAGTTCTGATAGTAAGTTTTCCTAAAGGTTTTTTTGTGTGCTTTAAAATGAAATGTGGAACCATCATACTGCATTCTGTTATGCTGTGTCCTTTAAAATTACACAAAGTTCAGTTGTGCTTTGTACATAGATTAAATTAGCCAATAAATTCTCATTTTTTTGTTTTATGCAAATCAGGGCAGAAACAATAGGATGACAAATGGGATTGCTAAGTGAAGCAGTGATCAATACAGAGTGCTGTCCATTTGGGTAATGGACATCTCTGTCATATTGGCTGCTAAAGGATTCCTCTGAGAGAGTGCCATACTACAAAGTATAAACTATAAAGAACTCTTAGTATAAGTTTCATAAATACAAAGCTCCAGAGGCCAGTTTTTCAGATGCTAGGTTTAAATGCTTCCTCCAAATTTATTGATGGTTTCCACAAATGTCGCCAAAGGAAAAGAGCAAGGTTTAGGATCTTACCTTGCTAGCATTTCCTTCTCAAATCAAGGTTTTCTTTGCATGATAGCAGACTAATATATTTCCTAAGATGTATTTCCTCACGTTGTGACCAGATTTTGTAGTATTTCACAATAAGTTATTACCAAGGCACATGGCTGCATTCAGATAATCCTCCAGATTTTATTTGACTCTGTGTTACAGTTCCCCCTACTTGCAGCAAACCATAGGTTGCTGTTACATTTGAACTGACATCAGAATGAAACCCTGGTAAATTCTGTAAATCAAACTGTAGAAGTGATTTGCCAAGTGTCAGACCTTCTTTTTTGAAATTAGTGGCCAAAATGTTATTTATTACATACAAGTGCTTAGTTCTAGAATTATTGATTGGATGTGACATTTTTAGAGTGCTACAGTTTTCTGAGGTGTGGTTTTCCAAAAATGTTTCCAGGTTCCTTACATAAAGAAGTCAATCATTCATTGACACTAAATTTATTTCATCAGTAGCCACCCACTGATTTCTGATACTCTCGTGTTCCCAACAATCCTTGTCTCATCACTTACTGCTTTCAGACAATTATCCAAGTTTCCTATAATCTTCAAACTTATTACAGCTATCTCAAAACTACACATTGGAATCCCACATCATTCCATTATCCCCCCCCCCAACCCTCTTCCAGTAATTTGAACAAAAGGAGGAAAACCTGTGACTCAGGTGTGGTGAGTGGGGAGGGACACATCTGTCAGCAAGCATATTAAGTAAAGCTTCTTCCTGTGTAGTAAACAGAAGTTTTGATTTCAGTGGTAACAAAACAATGCCTTATAAATTAAAGCTCACACCATTAATATATTTAGGAGTGAATGTTTGAGGGCAGGACCTATTGCTTAACATGTTTCAGCTTAAACATTGATACATTTATTGGCTAAAAATAATAATTTGATGTTGTATACTCCAATATTTAAAGTGTCTATGCTTGGTTATTTTTAGTAGAAATGCACAGATACATTTCACCATGCTCTTCTTGTTCGAAATTATAGTGTTTGTGTGTGCGTGTGCGTGCACAATTGCACATTCTGGATAGTTTGAGGAGCAGGAATTTGGAAAAAAATACTTAACTCTGAAAGGATTATTATTAATTTATTAAATGTTTACCTTTTGATTTTGAACTAAGTTATTTCCTTCCCTGTTCCCTTCAATTAATCTCCCCCCCCCCATCCCATTCACCTTCATTCCACACTTTGTGTGCAGTATCTATTGTTATGTGAGCACTTTCACATTACATGGGATATTTTTGAACTTTGGTAGTTGAACTGAGCTAAAAGAAAATCCTCACACAATCACACCTTGTCAATAGGGACAAAGGGCTGATGCAGACATAGATCAGCTCATACCTTAACTATAATTCGGAGATTAAGAACGGGTGGGGGAGCCTAAATTTGTACACAGTTCCTCTATTGGAAACTTAACTATATTTATGCATGGGTGGCACTGTGGGTTAAACCACAGAGCCTAGGACTTGCCGATCAGAAGGTTGGTGGTTCAAATCCCCGCGACGGGGTGAGCTCCCGTTTCTCGGTCCCTGTTCCTGCCAACCCAGCAGTTCGAAAGCACGTCAAAGTGCAAGTAGATAAATAGGTACCACTCCAGCGGGAAGGTAAATGGCGTTTCTGTGCGTTGCTCTGGTTCGCCAGAAGCAGCTTAGTCATGCTGGCCACATGACCCGGAAGCTGTATGCCGGCTCCCTCGGCCAATAAAGCGAGATGAGCGCCGCAACCCCAGAGTCGGTCACGACTGGACCTAATGGTCAGGGGTCCCTTTACCCTTTCTAGGCAAAGCTGCCAAATAAACAGTTTTCATTTTGTTTAAAATGCATTGTTAACAGCCCTGGTTTGTGATAGCACTGGGCTCATTCATGTTTTATGTCAGACATAATTTTGTTTAAGAACAGATGTATTTTTTCCCCAAGTGACCAAGGTTTGTTCTGCACTTACAAGGAATTAATCCTTCAGTGTGGCAGCATCTATACTTTGGAACTCCTTGTCCATTTATATTAGGCACGCGGTACTGTTTTTTGCACCTGCTAAAAGCCTACCCAGACATGTAAATTTGCATTTTAATGGGAAATTTTATTTTACAATTTATATATAATTTTCAGGCTAACTTGTTTATAACATCTGATTTTATTGGTAATTTTAATGTATATTTTATGTAAACCACTTAAAGGCTTTGGTGAATAAGTAGGATATAAATCCTGTTAAATAAATGGGGTGGGTGGGGATTCCAAACATGTGGGGATGACTGTGCAGCATATGCATCGTTCTACAATTTTATGAAAGAGTAAACAACCTCTGGGTACTTACCAGTGCAGGATATGTAGCTACATCAGGTCTGCAGTCTTCATATAAGGCACGTGTATAAGAATAAGTAATGCAAGGTGGAAGGTTGTAAGACAAAAGAGTTGAGAAAGTAACAAAGCACCAATTGACTTGCTAGAAATAAAAACAAAATAATTCACTTAGCTCTGTCCAGTTACTACATTTATTTTTAAGGTTAGTATCCCTCCTTTATAAGGGACACAGGTGGTGCTGTGGGTTAAACCACAGAGCCTAGGGCTTGCCGATCAGAAGGTCGGCGGTTCAGATCCCTGCGACGGGGTGATCTCCCGTTGCTCGGTCCCTGCTCCTGCCAACCTAGCAGTTTGAAAGCACGCCAAAGTGCAAGTAGATAAATAGGTACTGCTCCAGCGGGAAGGTAAACGACGTTTACGTGCACTGCTCTGGTTCACCAGAAGTGGCTTAGTCATGCTGGCCACATGACCCGGAAGCTGTATGCCGGCTCCCTTGGCCAGTAAAGCCAGATGAGCGCCGCAACCCCAGAGTCGTCCGTGACTGGACCTAATGGTCAGGGGTCCCTTTGCCTTTACCTAGCCCTCCTTTTGACTTGTTAATGAAATGTCTAAAGCAATTAGCCCAATACGTTTTTTTAAAAAATGACAATATAACAATTTGAAAACAGAAAAGCACAACAAGTTTTTAAAAAGTTATTGGGAGGAAAAACCAAATTGCATAAGGGAGGTCAAAGGGTTGCTGAAACAAGAAAACAAGTACTGTATAACAAAAAACAACTAAGGAGAGAGCACATTTCTGATGGTGATGGTAAACATTGAATGGCCTCTCCTGCTAAATGTAGCAGATGGAATTTGCCAGAGCAGTTCAGCTTTGAAGGTGATACCCGGCACTTTGAGTTGACCCCAGAAATGTTCTAGCAGCCACAGCAGCTGTTATAAAAGAAGAGTTGTGCCAGCGCCCATTAAGGAGTTGTGCTGCTGTGTTTTGAACCAGCAGAAGTTCACGAACAGTCTTCTAAGGCAGTCCTATGTACAGCATGTTACAGTAATCCCATAAGTTTTGGTTTGTTAGTCTCATCTAGCCCATCACCAGTTTTGGACAGTGGTTCAGAATCCCCACTGCTTCTGCACGGAGTTAGATGTAAAGCGTAAGTAGATCTGCATATTGTCAGCATATTGACGACAGAAGATTCCAGGTGATGTCCTCTATTTGTTTCCTGTATATATTGAACAGCAAGATGGAATCCTGCTAGACAGCAAGTGGAAGTTTCTTGCACCACAATCTTCTAGGCATGTTTCTCGGGGTCCCATCTGAAGCAAGTAGCCCAGAAGGATACTGTGACAGACAGTATTGAAAGCGGCTATGACATCCAGCAGAACCAATTGGGGCACACTCTCCCTGTCTCATTCCTGGCATAGATAACCTGCCAGGGCAACCAATTCCATCTCAGCAATCTGAAACTAGACGAAAAAACAAATAAAAAATGCATCCATGTTATCTATTTAATTCATAAAAATAATAATAACTGGGTTTCTACATTCCATGCAACACCTTATACAAAAATGGAGTATTATAATCTGTCTGGAAATTATCCACTATGATGGTCCAGTAAGGATTTTTACCACAGCTGCTTTAAAATGTGTTAGTATTTTCCCTTCTCTCAAGTAAACAGATATCACCACCCCCCACTTCCCACTCAGCTACTGACCTCTGTCTGCCTTCAGCAAGGGAAGGTCAAGGGTCAAGCACACAAGTGTTGACCTCATCCTCTAAGAATTCTGTTCACATTCTTAGGCTGTTCAAACGGAACGGTATCCCTAGATACAAGTAGTAGTTAAAGTAACCTTAAGGCATATTTTGAATAACTGTATTTAATGCAGTATTCGAGTTGCAGTGGACTTGGGTTGCTATAGATAAGAAATAGGCATTTATATTACTTTGTTTCATTTAACAAAATTTATATAGCACTTCATGGTTTGCAACCCACCACCCCCAGCATTAAAATTATCAATAAAAGATGTTACTCTGTCCTGTAGCAGTATTGACCATACTGCCTTATCAGGAGGAGGATAGAAAGACTGACTTATTGTGACTTTTTATATTGGATCAGATTGCTACTATTAATGTTTGATGTTTTATTATTATTTATATATGTGTTGGAAGCTGCCCAGAGTGGCTGAGGCAACCCATCCAGAAGGGCAGGGTGGGGTATAAAGAATTTTTTATTATAAATTCCCAAAATTATTGAGTCTTTTTAAAATATATAGGAAACCACTGAAATCGAGCTTTTTTGTTTACAAAAATACCAAAAAAAAAACCCCAACCCAGTGGTTTTAAAATTGCTTTTTATTATCATTTATTTTTTATCATCATTATCATTATCATTATTATTAGGTGGCGTAGAATCCACTTACTTACCAGTTACTCTGGCAGTAAGGTTTATTTATTTTTTTGTAATCCAGACAATGCATTTACATTGAAAATAATGTATCTTTTGCTCAACATTTTATTCCATACTACTTTGTTTTATACACAGCTCTGAAATGCACCTTTTGTTCTTTTCATAGTACAAATTTATCTGCATATTGGTGTCTTCCCTTCTAAACTTGTAGAAAAGCTTTTCTGTTTCACATGAATGGAGTGAGATGCATTGGTAGATTACTGGTAGAATCTTTCTCACACAAACCCTATTGAAATGAATTGAGAACACAGAAAACCAGTGTCTGAGGAATTATACCCAAAATATGCAGTGGGAAATAAGTGGAAGGGGGAATAAAACATGCATATACAGTGTGATCAAGAGAATGTATGTTGTTTTATGTTCCAGCATTTAATTTGACCACAAGCTATTGTTGTTCTTAATTTTTTTCTCCTTTTTTAAAAAAACCCTTAGATTTATCATAGAATTGTAGAGGTGGAAGAGACACTGAGGGTCATCTAGTCCAACCCTGTGCAATGCAGGAATCTCAGCTAAAGCATTAATGACAGATGGCCATCCAACCCTCTGATTAAAAACCTCCAAGAAAGAAGAGCCCACCATTTTATGAGGGAGTCTGTTCCATGGTCATACAGTTCTTACCATCTGAAAGTTCTTATTGTTTAATTGGAATCTCCTTTCTTGTAACTTGAAGCCATTACTTCAGATCCTACCCTCCGGAACAGAAAAAAAAACCAAGCTTGCTCCATCGTCCATGTGACAGCCCTCTTAATTTCAGGTTCTTGGGTTCAAGCCCCACAGTGGGCAAAAGATTCCTTCATTGCAAGGGGTTGGACTAGACGATCCTCGCAGTCCCTTCCAACTCTATGATTCTATATCTCCTCTCAGTGTCCTCTTGACCAGGCTAAACATATCCAGGTCCCTCAATGGTTTCTCTTAAGGCTTTGTTTCCAGACCCTGAATCCATCTCAGTTGCCCTCCTCTACGCATGTTCCAGCTTGTAAATATCCTCCTTCAATTGTGGTGCATAGAAATGGACACAGTACTCCAGCTGTGGTCTGACCAATAGAATAGAGCAGTACCTGCTTGGCAAAAGCTTTTCCAGTTCCATACATTTTCTAAGTCAAACTATATAATTTCTTAAAATAATACTTCAAAATCATTTTCGTAGGGGAGGGTGGTGATTTTAGGAACATAAGAAGCTACCATATATGAGATCATAACTTGAATTCATCTAGCTTAGCATTTATTGTCTTGGCATGGGGAACCTACAGCTCTCCAGATGTTGTTGAACTCCAGCTCCCATCAGCCCATCCAGCATGGCCAATGGCCAAGTATGTTTTGAGTTGTAGTCCAATAACATTTAGAAGACCACACATTTTGCATCCCTGATCAACTCTGGTCAATAGTGGATCTGCAGGGTTTCAGACTGAAATAGTTCCCAGCCCTACTAAAAAATTCCAGGGATTGAACCTGTGGTCTTTTGTATGCAAAAGCTTGAGGTCTATCGCTGAGCTACTGAGTGATTTAAATAGAGCTTGGCTCCATATATACCATTTGTGTACTGTGCAAAGTGAGTTGAATGTAGAAATCTCAGCATAAACAGATATTCCGCTTACATATCTGCATGTATACTGTACCTATTTCATTAAAACAGCTGGGCTGAGTAACATGCCGAGCTACTCATTTATAAGCCTTTGGATTTACTCTGCTACTGTTCCCTTCTAAATGTAGAATGTAATCTTTGCTAATTTGTTTTCATTGTTTCCTCTTAATGGGACTGACTGCATGTGATCAGCTATTACAGCTAGCTGTCGGATAGATAGTTGAATGCTAATGTTAAGGATATAGTTTGACCAGACAGTTCAGGTAGATATTATTAATCTTCATAACTGCAGTTCCAATATTAATAAGGTTGTAGCTTAGGGGCAAACTGGACTTGACTTCTTGTGAGGTTTGGGTCTGACTGACTTAACTTAAATCTCAAATATAATATTTTATGAATTATACAAATTTAGTGTGTCCAATATAACTGTGGCAGATGGAAAGTACAGGTTTCTGTTTTAGTGAACAAATGAGATAAGAAAGAATGAGAGTGCAGCTCACGGTTATCTTTGTGTACACAAAGCTTAGGCAGGTGACGTTTACCAGATCAGTCTATCTATCACAGTAGATATCTATTGGTAGATATCCATCTACCACAGTATTGTATGTTTTGAGTGGGATGTGTCTTTCCAGGTCTCAGACATTGACAAGCCTTTCCACTGCTACCTTTTTAAAAAAAATATTGGTAATGTTGAAGATTGAGCCTGAGACCTTTAGTATGCAATACAACTTAATACAACTTGCATAGTTTTTGAAGTTCCACACCCATCTTTGTCACATTTTGCAACCTAATTTGCAACAAATTATTTTTCTACCTAACACCAACAACATTCTTAACACCATTCACTTTTGCCATCTGCCTTGTTCTCCTCTATTCACTTGTTGACCAATTTTCAGTCTATCTAGTAAAATGGATAAGGTAATTCCCAGCTTTCAGCGACTCTTGTCAATATTGACGCTGCCAGTGAAATTCAATAATCTAGACGGCTCCCTGCTGTTTCACGTTTTGTATAGTTAAGGTAGGGTACCCAACTGCTTGCTTATTACATTTTGTAAACTGGTTTCGCTCAGACTGGTCTGGAATACTGATATTGTGGTGAATGTATCCATAGGGGGCATATTCTGCACTATGGGCCTTTGTGTCTGACACCTCAGGTCAGACAGCTCAGAATTAATGATAAGATTTAAAAACTAATAGGGTGTTATTTATTACACTGGCCCTGCTTGAGTGAATTCACTTCCAGTGAACTAATGTGATCAGTAGAGATGTATGATAAATTCTCTCTAGCCAATTCGCCCCCACCCCACCAGTTTTGGGGAAGTAGGTTCAGAATTGCATGCCCTTGTTTGTGGAGTTACACCACTGCATTAGCAACTTGCCATTCTTCTGTTTTTTTAATTTGATGCTATCGTCAGACTATTGCCCACTTTGCCCAGGTTACCTGTGTACAGTAGCACTTATGTATATTTATTAAAATGATGACAAAAGGGAGTCTTGATGTGACCAAGATTCCCTTTTACATGTTTTCAGTCAATATATACATATATTGATGGACTTCGGGACAAGAGGAGGAAGTAACTATATCCTGAAAACTATGGCAAACTGTGCTTCTGCCAGTTATAAAATTAATTTTAAAATTCTCGAGAAATAATATCAAAGTGAGGGACATCCAGTCTTCTTTCATCATTCACAATTGATTGCCATCTGGTTTTTGGTTTATTTTTGTGCATCTTTTGCATTAAACTCTGCAAATTAGTGCTTTATGCTATGTAAGCTCTCTTATCTTCACTTCAGTCTCCTGCCAAAGAAGTTGGGGAAAGCGCAGCTAGGCTCATTTGGTGTTTTTGATCAAACAGGCAGGTTTCTTTTTTCCTCTTCTTTAGAATACTGTGCATTTATCTTTGACTTCTGGTGATTTCTTTCTTGCTCAAATTGGTATTGTATCAAAATGTGAGTGAATGGCAGCCAGAACGTACATTATAGGCTGTGGGCAACTAACGTTAATTTCAGCACTCTAAAATCTTTTGGCAAGAGATTTCAAAGGAGTAATATTGTTGCTGTAACAATGTTGTACCATCTTTATCCTATTACAGAACTGAGAGGGACCCCATGCAGTTGAGCAAAGGATACACAGGAGGCATTGTTTTGAAAAGCAACCTTTCTGGCAGCTTGTAGAAAAATACATTTCGGATTGGAGGGAAAGGATGATATAACTCCAAAGATTTGCACACAACTGCAGGGGCAGCTGAATGGAAACTCAGCTGGAAAGAACAAAGAGTGAGAAGAATCGAGCAACAAGGCTTGTTTCACCATAGAATCAGTCTCCCCCAAAAGTGAATATCTGTAGCAGTAAAAATAGTTAGGCTGCTATCTTAGCCCCACTTAACCCGGAAGAAGCCCGTACAGAATTCTGTAGACATGGTTAGTATTGTAGCCTTAGTCGTTGACTCAGTGGGTCACTGCATCTGACTGTTAAGCAGAAGGTTGGTGGTTTGACCCCACCCAGGGATGGCTGTGGGCAGGATTCCTGCATTGTAGGGTATTGGACTAGATGGTGCTCAGGGCGCTCTTCCAAGTCTACAATTCCATGATTCTATCTGGGCAACCCAACTTTTCATGCAAAACTAAGAAGAATGCTAGTGAGCCTTCTGTGATGGTCACATTTCCTGCACATACCTCCTTGTATTCATGGAAACCGGTGGGTTGCTTATTCTCTGGATCACATAGTTATTTTTTGCAGATGTTGAATTGCTTTCATGTTAACTGGGAATCAATAAAAACATAGGGTTGTAACTAACTAAATCTTTGTGAATGTGGAACAACACCTGCAAGGACACGCCCTCGCAGATTTGCTCTGACGGTTCCAAACCAGGTCCGTGAGATATATTAGCACAACTCAAATCTATGGATGAAATAAATATTCCAGACCGTCCAGAAGGATGCAATGTCA